CAACCAACAAACAAACAAACAAACACACACAGACCAACAAACAAACAAACAAACAAACAAACAAACAAACAAACAAACAACCAACGAACCAACCAACGAACCAACCAAGCAACCAACCAACCAAACAAACAACTAAACACAAGCAAGCCAACAACGAAACAAACAAACAACACACACCCACAACGAAACAAACAAACAACACATGCCAGCAACGACAAACAAACAACAACTTGCCAGCAACGACAAACAAACAAACAACAACTTGCCAGCAACAAAAACACAACACCGAAGACATGCCCAAAAAAAAAGGAAGCAAACACACCTGCCAGCAACAAAACCACAGAGCAGCAAACGACCAGCCGGGTGCAGGCGTGTTTTTTCGCGCCTTGCTGGGCTCCCCAGGCTCTGCGGCCTCGGGGCTGAGGTGCAGAGCCTCGCTGTAGGCCTCCCGGGCGTCGTGGAAGCGCCCGGCCTCGCCAGTCGAGGGCGGAGCTTTGGGGCGAGTGGAATTGGGACTTGGGTGGGGGGTTGGGGCGGGGAGAGGTGGGGAGAGGCTGGTTGGGGGGTGGAGTTGGAGCGGAGTGGAGTTGGAGCGGAGGGGTTGGAGTGGAGGGTTGGAGTGGAGTGGGGAGGGGTTGGTTGGAGTGGAGTTGGAGAGGAGTTGAGGTTGAGTTGGAGTGGGATGGAGGTGCTGGTGAGGTGGAGGTGTGGGTTCTATCAGCTGCTCAATTGGTTTGGAGTGGTTTGGACTTGGAATTGAACCCGGGGACGCAGAGCCTTTTGTTAAGTGTCCCTTCGGCTGTGGGTACCATCAGCCTTCCTTTAGGGGAGCCAGGGTACTTTGCACGTGGTTTTTCACCACTCAAGCATTTTCAGGTAACCCTTAATTGGTGGTTTGGATTTGAACCCGTAGAGGGCAAAAGGGAAAACACATCAGCTGCAAACCAATCCAAAGCGCTTTTGAGGGTAAGTGAGAAACAACTTAAGCTCCGAGCCACAAACACTACCAAGGAGGCTGATTCATGGGTTCCTTTCGGCCGTTCGGATGCGAAGAATCGATGAGCTTCCTTTGGTGCAAGCTGGGGCAACATCATGGTCTTGCAAAGGGCTGGAAGCTTCCACCACCATGAGGCTACCGAGCCCCCACAAAAATTAACGTTGGAAGGGGAGCAAAAATTGGAAAAACATAGCAGTCAAGTGGTTGGATAGGCAAAAAAACATCCAACAACAAAACAAAAACACGACAACAACAATGCCAACAACAACCATGTTTCCCACCAGCCATGCGAACAACAACAACCATCCACATAAGTAGACTAGGTCGTCCAGTAGAGAGGCTAGAATAAGGATACCAGTTTTTTTCCTGTAGTCTATTTTAGCAGGGGAACCCTCCCGCCTGGCTGGGGAAAATAGAAAATGCTTCCCAACATGGGGAACCTAGAAAATGCTTGCCAACAAGAACCACACCAAAACCCCCGAGCCACAACAACCATCTCAGGTCGCCCTGCCTTAAAGTACTCGTTGCCCTCCTGCCGCAGCTCCTGCGCGCGGGCGGCATCCACGATGTCGTCCTCCATGTCCGGCGCTTCGGGCGGCGCCTCGGCCTCGCTCGGGAGCTCTCCGGAAGGCCCCCGGTGGTTTTGAGTGAAGGAAACTTGGAGAAGACTGGCCAAAACTGGGCGAAGAATGAAGAACACATCGGTGAAATACGTAGTTGAGAACTTGATCCGATTTTTGCCCACTAAAACATGGAAACATGGGCCAAGAAACAGGTTTTCAAGCTTGCAAACGAAACAGGCAAGCCTACAAGCGTGCCGAAACTTGCCAGCGCTGGACAGCGGGGTAAGCCACCGTCCAATCACAGCCTTAGCCTACACTGAAGCAGCGCGGCAAATGGATTGACAGTTCAAGCCTAACATGGCTCATACGTGGTAAAATGCCAAGCCCAACTCAGTTGCCCCAGTAACCCAGGTCAAAAAACCAGGGGTTTGACCAGTGGGGGGCATGCCAAACAAATGGGTGGAATCAAACACTGGCTGAAACCTGCGGAAGGTCAGGCCCTGTCAAGCCAGGGCACATCTGGACTACCTTCAGGCACAAGGTCTTCTTGTGTCTCCTCCTGAGCCATGGAAACCGCTGGCAAGCCGGCTTTTCTTGACAGGGGGACTGTAGCCCAACTGATCGAAGGCGCGTCCGCTTTCATGTCTTCAAAGTGCCCGTTGATTCTTTGCGGAGGCTTCCAAGAATATCCAACTTCGACTGGCCCAAATGCACTCTGCCAGCACCTTTCACGTGGATGCATCTGGCAAGGCTAAGGCAAGCACCCTGGGTGCGATAGGTAGGGTCCCTGTGACAATCAGCCCACTTGCTTTGGTCCCCTCAAGAGGAAACCACCAGTAGTTGGATGGCTTAACTTATGTCATTCCATTGCTCATTCCCTGCCTGTCGCACCAGAAGTGTGGGGGAGGGGGGTTCTTGCAAACATGGATCATCATCCCCGACACATGCTCCGTTTTTTGCACCAACTGCGGCGCATTGCGAACAACGTGCCCCCCTTCCATCCATACATGACGAAAGCAACCTGTATGGGAAAGGGTCCGCTTGCATGGCCCCCTCTCACAAGCGGCGGTTTCACATGTCCAAGTCAAATCCGTTTTTTGCATATATCGGACACCCTTTGGCGATCGACCACAAATAACGTCCAAGCTTGCTTGCTGCTAAAACAGTCATCCCAAAAAGGTAGGGTCCAAACACTCGGGGAGTGAGTGAAAGTTGTTTTCCGAGGCTTCAGCGAAGAAAAAAGAAGACGTGGGATTGGGGGGGGCCAACTCACCAAACAAAATAGTTGCCTCTCGGATGCTGCTGGACACGCAAGATGGAGCCTTTATTCGAATCCGTTCAACGGGCCCCTGACCAACAGGCAATCAAAATAATAGGCATGTCGTCCAAGGATGGCAGAAAGAGGAGACAGTTTCCTTTTGGGACCGGGCTTAGTGAACCACCCAGCAAAATGGGAAAACACCAAAATCACAAACCGGCCGCCCTGTTTGGACAGCTCCTCGGCCAAGTTCCCATATGCGGCAACGGCTTCAGCCTCGCCCATAGGCACCTCTGGCAACGAGTCGACTGTCGGAACTGACGAAGCTAAGACAATGTGTCCAACTGGATCTGCAACTTTTACCATATGGCTGTGGCTCAAAATTAAACCACCATGGGACCACAGGTTTAATCCATGTTTCCATTCACCAGGGTTCCCGTTTTGGGTACATATTTTTGACCCACTGCCATATTTCCAAAAGCTGAATTTCACGGATCAGCAACTAAAGGACCTTTATCATGGTGAGCTCGTTTTGCCCCCGAATCGGTGAGCTCGCCATAAAATATGCAGACTGCATGTGAGCCGACCAGCCAACTGATCGCTAACCAAACGAAACAGCAGCGAGTTGTCCGCGTTGCTCCCAGCCCCCGTGAGTCGTTTTAGGCCCTCAGATGGAGCAGCAATTGGTTTCTGCAAGGCTCTTAGGGCTGATTCGGTGATGCAAACAGACCAGCAGTGTGCTTCAGGGAGTCACAAAATTACATCGAAGGCCTAGTCAGCCCAGAGTTGCTGAGAAGGGCATGCAAACAAACAAGATTCTTCATCCGTAAGAACAAACAAAGCAATCCTTGATCCTTTAACTATCCAGGCCTGTGAGGTGCTACTTTGGGATTGCTTTGAAAGGCAAAGGATATGTAAAACCACGAGATGCTTGAGGGTGCCACTCAGGGGCATCAGATCAATGAGACTTAAACTAAACACAAATCGACTTGGTCCAAACGCTGGTCTCTAAGACGGGAAATAAAGGGATGCGCCCTGGATGCGCGAAAGTCGGGGGCCAAACAGGGATTCCTGGTTTGACAGAGACCCAGTTGTCCAGCAGACAAAGGCTCGGAACACTATTCACAATTTGCTTACGCTTACGCCCACTGGAAAAAGCTATGACCAGTAGTGATAGGTTCCCCTTAAAAACAAGTATTTGGCTGATAAGTTTTAGCGGGGAAGCCCAGGGACATGGATATAAACAACTGGGACTGCATCAGCTGTCGCCGCCGAACAAAGCAGGTTCAGATTACGGCCAATACTTGGTTGACGTTGGAAGGGGAGCAAAAATTTACATTTTAGCAGTTATGTAGGGATTTCCCACTAGACCACAATAAGCAAAAATGTAAAATGTTTCCCAACAACAACCATGAATAGAACCGTAGCAAACTCATGGACCAGACTCGCCTTCCGAGGCGCTGCCGCTTTCCAGTCTGCAGCCGTTTCAGGCGCCGGAACTTGGCTCGGCTCTGGCGCCGCTTTGGGCGCTGGTGCTGCTGGCGCTGCTGGCGCTGCTGGCGCTGCTGGCGCTGCTGGCGCTGCTGGCGCCGGAACGGGCGCCGGCTCGGCCCGCACCTCCGGCATCACCTCGGATCTCTGATCCTCCGTCCAACACTAAGGAAACCGTGTGACATACAAATGAAGGATCGATTTGGCAGCGGCCTTGGCAGTGACGTCGGCTTACTTGAGTGAGACGGTTTGCGAAAGGACAGTGCTGGAGAAACCTGGACCCCCACAAGCAAAAACGAGTCCGCGAAATTGGGCCGCCCTTGAGACCTTGCGCCCTAAATATGCAGTGTGATGCAGCTAAAGAAGAAGACTAAATATGACCAAACACCTGCAAGCTTGAGACTAGAATTTGACTCATCAAGGCAGAGGCAACACCATCATCTAGCAGTCTAGCAGTCAATCCACAAACATCCATGCAATAGTTGCTTTCATCCTCTTCCCCACCTAAAGTACTGGTAAATTCCCGTGAGTCCGAAAACCGCTGGGCTGCACCTCCAGCATTTGAGGAACTCATTGGCCGCACCACCAGGGGCGTCATTTTTGCCCCGCAGATGACTTCAACCCGGTACTTATCGGAAAATGAACCAATTCTGGGCGTAAGCCTCCCCCAACAGTAGAACCTCAAGGTAATTTCGCCAACTTTGGGACCCACAATTTCGGAGGAAGAAAACAAATCTGAAAAAAAAGGAACAACAAAAAGCAACAACAGAACAAACAGAAACCAAAACGGACCCCCGGCTCAACCCTCCGAAAACTCCGCCCGCCCGAAGCTGGCCAATCCGTCGCCTCCTTCAACTCCTCACAGAGCTTCGGCACCTTCAAAACCACGAGCCAAAGGTAGCCACCTCGGATGTGCTTGTTCATTGATTCTGATTTTGTTGCTGCATTCTTTTTCAGATGTTTCTCCTGTTTTTGTTCTCGTTGGCTTTCATTTTTCAGATGTTTATTTTGTTATTGTTTTTTGTTGCTTGCACTACTGGGGGACCTAGTTGTGTTGTCGCATTCGACAATGGAGCCCCCAAACTGGGAACGCTCTGCCCCACGGGGTTTTGAATGACCCAAATGCAGAGCCCGGTGTTCCAGTGAACAGTTGCCGCTCCCCGGAACTCCGGAGGCATCTGGCAGCTGGACTACTGTTAACCCCGGATTTATGACCCCTGGTTGATTTATAGAAAGTTTTAGTGGGGATTCATCACTTTTTGGAGGGAACACCCCCTCCTAACAATGGGACGGGTTTATTAATCCTGGGTCAACATGAAGTAAGTGCGGACCGTAACTGAGTGCGGACCAACCACCAAAAGGGAAGAGACTGCTGCAGCTACAATTCTAAGGCAGAATTCCGGCACGTAACCTGGATGTCGGTTGGGAAAGGCTACGCTTTGCCACCCGAAACAAATCCAAATTGCAGGAACCTCAGCTTCACCCAAATCAATTTGTGGTTTGGATTGGTGAAATTGGAGCTTGGACACCCTTCCTCAGGGGGTAAATGGAAAATCACTTCCCGACAACTCCAAACCAAACCAAAGCAGCCAGTGGGAAGCTGAGAACCAACTTCTGCACCCAAGTTGGATCCAACAAGGAAGGCTTGCGAAGCACGTCTACCGGGCCCATCTCACCTTTTGCTAGCCCAGGTGTAGCGCTTGGTTGAGGGGCACTTGAGAAAACCTCCACAACTCACCCGGCCCCGAACTGTATCTTGTCTTTACTTCGGCTGTCACACCTCCCGACAAGCCGGTGACAGATGTTTCCGACTCAAGGGAGGTCTTTCTGATGAATTAGAGAAGCCCTTTGCTCGGAGGCCTTTGTTTCGCACCGGCCACTAGGCTGTTTATTCATTTGTTGGTTGGTCTTGGCTTCCAAATGTTCTCCGCAACTGTCACCCACCCCCCATGGGAAGTGGATGTACAAGGATCCCCCCAGCTGTCCAGCAACTCTGGCAGCAAAAGGGTTGGAACCCTTTTTGACGGTTCTTTTCCGTGAAGCTACCAAACAAGGGCAAATGGCTGGAACCCACCGAACAACCTTCGATTCAAGGTACTCCCCCCACCAGAAAAGGAGAAACAAAACAGGCCCACCAGCAATGTGTGTCCCCCTTTGTGCCATCAACATCTGGGCGCCCCAACATGTCTTGTTGCTTCTATCTCTTCATGTGTTTTTTTAGTGCCCCACCAAAAAAGTGTCCCCCATTTGCGCCATCAACATGCCATCAACATCGGGGCGCCATGGTGTGTGTGCCAGCACCCCCCAATGGCTGGCCAATTGCCGGCACATCGATTTTGGGCAAAACGATGTCACTGTATGTTTAAGTGACTGCAAAAGCAATTTGCTATCAACTATCAAGTATCACTCATCTGTACTTAGTGCAATTTGTACAATGATGCAAGGGACCTTTCAGGGTCCTTTGGAATGGGGTTGCAGGGGAAAGGGGGGAGCAGCAAATTTGAAGTTTGGAGGGCAAGTTTGAGGTTGGGAGGGGTTCTTGAGGAGCGTGTCACGGCGTGTCGGGGGGTGGCCAATTGCCGGCACATGTACGTTCAACGGTCACTTTTTTGGGATATGAGCGTGTCACCAGCGTGTCCCCCCCCCCCCCCCGCGCGTTGCATGTGCAATGATCATACCTGCCAGCCCAACCCCTCAATTGGATCCCCTCTAGTATCCTGAAGTGACGCTTCAACTTTGATGATGGCAAAAAAAATATATGTGACTACAAAACCATTTTTAAGCAAGTGCTGGTCAATTGCCGGCACTTCACTCGGGACGCCAATTACCGGCCATCGGGGGGGCCTGGTGTGTGTTGTTTTGTTTGGGGGGCGGCAAGGCAAACAATCAAAGAGGCAAGCCAATGGGATCCAAAGCGCTCGCCAGCAGCAGCGCAAGGAAGCTGGGAGCGGCCCAACCAGAGCTGAACCTTGAGATCTGTTCGGGCTCAGGTCTCTATGTCTGGCGACTTTTGAGGGGGGGGGGAAGGGGGGTGGGGAATAACATGGTGGGCTAAGCTAAACAACTACACCTCATTCCCCTATAATCATGAAACAACTTAGGTTTTCAATTAATTCCCGCACCACCTGTCGTCCCTTTATGTTAAGCAAACCGCCCGAACCTACCAACAACAACTCAAGGAACAGCACCTTGGGGCTATCAAATGGTAACCTGAGCGGCCACCTCCCCGCCCAAAGAGTTGGACCTCTCACCGCAAGATCTGGAAACTGGAACGTGCTGGTCAACCAAACGATGGTCGGGAAGTGCCCAACTCCTGGATCATGCTTTCCACACTTTCCCGACGGACATGAAAGCTTCATCTGTCCATACTGGAGTCCTGGTCGCCATGCCAATGTAGAGGCACGAACCGCAACACCCTCCCCCACACGTGCGCTACCCACACCTGTACTACTCATAATTTTGAGCAACGGACAATTTGACCATGGTCCCAGTGCCCTCCCCCATCTCCCACCCTCAGGGGCCTGTGCGCCACAAGCCACGCACCGAAGCAGCCAAAGGCGCCCAGCCAGCTCTTCAAGCTGCCCATGGCTCCCAGAGGCCCGGCTTTGCGATCGCAAGCCACTTGTCGGACGCAGCCAAAACGTGGAAGCAAAGCTGGTGGTTCAAGTTCTTGTGTTTTTCTTATTTGCCGCGTTCGAAGCTTCGGGGGATGGGATACAAACTTGCTCTGGACACGTGTGGGGTGCAAGTTTCCTCGCGTCCGATGGGCGGCCAGTTTGGCCGTTGTGGGCGATCGGCCGGTCTCAACGCGCCTAACAACCTGCATAGCCAACACATTGGGAACAGCCGGATGCGCAATTCGCCGCCATCAGACATGCAACAGACCACCTTACGCCTGAACCTCTATAACTTCACAACAGAGAACGCACCACCCGGATGAAATGCATGTTCTGCCTGCATTTCAAAAAGGGGGAAGCGCACTGGGTCCCTTTTCATGAGGAAAACGCCCCAACAAGTGAGGATGAGTAAGATGAATCCCCCCGCCTGCTGCGCGTTGCTCGTGGCGGAAGACGTGGCGCCGAATGCCCGGACATTTCCGCCACTCCTGGACACTCGAGGGCCAACTGGGTTCAAGCCTTTAAGCCGTTCTTTCAACAAGTTTGCAAGACAAGATGCTTGGAAGAATGGAACCTTCTAGGGGTTGATTCCTTGTTCATTCTGTTCAACCATCGTTCTTCTCAAAAACCAGCTGTTTTCCAGGGTTTCGGGTGGTTTTCTAGAAATCATGGATCCCTGGAAAGAATGGGGAGGCAACCCATAGAAACTTGGTTGCGTGCGCTTTTGCATTTGTGGGGTTCAGTACCTAGGACACACCATCACGGGTTCCAGGTCTGTTTTTGGGAGGGATTTGCCGGGGAGATCACCCGGCCAGCCCAAAAAAGCCACAATCCGCCGAGAAAGCTGGGACCTTCAGCGGGTCTGCCTTGACAAGGTGCCGGCAGCAAGCAGAAACAGTGCTTGACTACATGCTACGTCTTCAATCAGGAGGCAGTTCCATCAGCAGATTGGGGTGTCATGATTCCAGCTCAAGCCTCTTTTGCACAGAAATGTGCTGTTTCTTGCTCCAGCTTCAGCCATCGGTGCAATGCAATTTGTATCCTAACTCCATCCGACGCAGGAGTGCCCAGTGCAACATGTTGTCCTGCCAAGAAAAAAGGCACCCCATCGATTCGGGCGCCATCATGACACACCCGACATTTCGAATGGAAGCCCCCAACCACAGGCATGTGCAAACGAATGTCCTGACGTCTGTGAGTTCCACGCGCTTTTCGAAGGACAAAAACCGGGAACCTACGCCCGAAAGTGAGTCTCACTCAGCCCGGCCATTTCTCTGCCCCCAAATGCCCCGTCAAGTCCTTGGAATCGTCTGCCCAAGCACCTGCAAACTGTGGGGGCGAATGGGTGCAAGGGGTCACCATTCCGTGGATGGACCAAATTCTGCACCACCTAAACCTAAGAATTCCTGGAACGATGCTTCCCCTGTAAATACCAACGAACAAAGGCTTCGCATGGTTTCAAAGTGGTGCAGGATTTTGTCCACCCACAGTATGTCCCGCGCAAAAGCATGGCACTCCAACCCCTTAGGTCCGGTTCACCCGTGCAAAACTGGGAAGGAATGGGTACCTCAAAAGGACATGTACGCCGGTCTGCTCCTCCCCGGGCCTGGACAGGATGTGGTTTCTGGAGGCGATGCTAGATCAATGCTTGCCGCATTGCCTGCAACCACTAGATCAAGGCAAGCGCCCTGCAACCAAGACCATCCAGAACCCGGACTTGCTTTCAAAGGTCGAGGCTCGCCCATTCAGGGAGCGACCAAGAACTCCTTCCAGCACCCAGACTAGAGGAAGAAATGGAGACATTCTTCCAGCCGGGGCATGGCGCCCGGGGAGCAACTCCTAAGTCCTGACTTGGTTCCCAAGCTGCGAGGTGAGTTGAGGTGAGTTCCCCGCCACTGCCCCCATCAGATTATGCACAAACATATTCAATTGTTGCCATGTTCATCTGCCCAAGTCCCCGACAATGGCTAAGCTTCCCAACATGGTGGGTCAAAAATAAGTACCCAAAATGGAACCCTGGTAAGTGGAAATATGGAACAAAACCTGCGGTCCGATTCCTGGTGGTTTAATTTTGACCCATACCCATATGAATTGTAGGATTTTACCAGACCAACTTGCAGGATAGAACGCCTGGCAAGAGGACTTCGTTGCTTGCGATTTGACATGTGGCGTATCCAATGCCCGTGGCAAAACTGACAAAAGCCTCACTTTATGGCTGCACTCAACTTGTCCTTTCGGGAGACTGAACGCCAGGTTGTTTAAACGGGCTTCGACCGGCCGGAAACTGGCCGAATCTTAAGCGAATCTCAAATGTGAAATGACGCCAGTGGTCAAACAATGTCAAATTGTGGCCAGGGCTGGGCCATGTTCAATGCTTAAATCGTCCATTGCTTCAGCAGCCTCCTGAATCGTTCCCTTTCACGGCCACCAGGGCCGGGTTTCAACACTTGGACGCCTCGAGTCGTCCCGGCGCCTCGCCAGGGCTTGTCCGGCCACGGGTTCCGTAGCTGGACCAGCCGGAAGTCCTCCACCAGGAAGTCCAGCACTGAGTAGCCGTGGCCCTCGCTACTCAGATTCCCTCGTTTTGCTTCTATTGGAGGGTTCCTCCATTTGCTTCAGTCCCCTGGAAAAAACATATTCCCATCAGTGATCGTTTCCCTTTAAAACCAACAGGGGAAAAACAATCTTAACCAAATGGAAGGGTTGGATTGGTGGAGGTCTCTAATTTAGAGGTTTGGATTGGTGATTTGGAGGTGTGGAGGCTTGGGGTGGTTTCCATTTACCCTCAAGAAGCTGGGGTTCGAATTCCCAAACAAGTTCCAAGCCACCAATTAGGGCTTCCCTGACCCAATTCCACCGAGAGAATGCATCCCAACACCTGCTTTACAAGGGTGATCCACTCAGCCAGGCGAAGGCGAGCTACCAAATGGGAATTGAAGATCGAACATGTTTCGACCAAAGGCCCCCGTCGCCGTTTTAGAAAGGGCCGTCCCCCAAACAAACGAACCGAAGCTCATTCGATGGTGTCGGGGCAAACCCGTCAAAGCATTCTTCTGGCGAGGGGGGGGGGGGGCATGGAGGTCCCTTTCCCCCGTTCCACGCAACGGAAACACCGGTTCGGTCCCGGGCTTTTCCACCGGACAGCGCCGGAAACACCCGACTTTCCACCAGCCGCCGGACTGGATCCCAAAAAACTGGGTCCAAACAAACTTTTGCCAGTTGCTTTCTGCTCCCCTGCTAAAACTTTAGTGGTTGAATTACGGAAAACCCAAAAAAAAGCTGGCAACAAGTTGCTCAGTCCAAACATCCCTTGGCAAAATGCACCAAACCCACCGGCGCAGGTCCGGGACGTGGCCTGCACCAGTCCCAGGTCCCCTGGGTCTTCACCGGGCGCAAAGAGATCCTCGCGCAGCCGGTCGCCTGGCGCGATCGGATCGGATCTGCACGGACAAAGAGAAGCTTCGAATGGCTGCCGAGGGCTCACCCTCCCACCAAATGGAACCTTACCGGGGGGTCCTCACCTGTCAGGTTCCATGGTAATTGATGGGAGGGTGTACATGGAACCTGACAGGTCATGAGCTGCTGCCGCTGCAAGTGCTATTGTTGTTATAAAAGTATCACTACTCTGAACAGGGGCGTCCTTGAAGACCAGTTTCTTGCAAAAAAGGACCTGTCAGGTTCCATGTTAATTGATGGGGAGGGTACCCTTTTGATTCTTTTCCCTGGGTTTGGGGTAGACAACTTTACACCGTGAAAGTAGATGGCATCTCCGTGTCACTGAGAGGATTGTCCACTTTTAACGAACTGTACTACATGAAGTAATAAAAAGAGACAAATGTGCATTTTGTTTAGCATTGCCTGGTTACCTAAACACAGCAAGGGGGCCATGACTGGCCTTCCTTTGGAATGGATACAAGGCTCTCAAAGTCCCAAACCGTGAACGCGCAAACCACGCTAAGCTACCCCAAACGTACCCCAGAAAAAGGCTATCATGGCAACTTACTTAGCCCAAGCATGGCACCTGCTTACCTCACCCCCGTTGGGTATAGGCGAGCACTTGCCACCCTCCCATCCACACACACGCGACTTGAGGGTCCTGGAAGACAATGTTCCGCCAAAAGAGGTCTTCTGGTAGGCCCCACTCGAATGTAGGGAGGCTAGCCTAACCCTAAAAACAATTCAACGTACTTCGTACGTAGATATCCGCACCAATTCATCTTTGGGACCTTCTCATAACCTTCAGCTTTCCAGGAGTCTCAAAAGACGGGGCCCCTTCCTTTGGTTCGACAAAGGAACGCCCCCCACGTGATGCCCCCCAGCCCCAAACCCCGAGAATCGGGGTGTCCGACAGCCACGCCACTCTGCACGTCCTGCAACTATGCCTCAAAGTAAAACGGGGAAACGGGAATTTTATCCAGTTGCCCAACCCTGTAGGAGAGAAGTAAGTTTGGGGAGAAAAAGAGGAACATGTGGAAGAGGTCTCTATGTCTCCCGTTTCAACTTCAAGCAGCACCTCAAACAGAAACTCACTTTCCATCCCAAAAGATGATGCTTAGGGGGGAAAGAAGGGGACCCACGTGAAGTCCAGCGGAACGCTGGCCTGGGAATTTCCAGGCCAGCAGCAAGGCATTCTGCTGGTGCAACTCCCTCGGCGATTCGATTGGACCCTTGATAAGCTCAAAGCCCTCGTGGATCTCCGAGGGAAAAGGCTTGTCTGTTTTTGGGGTAGTTTGCCCTCCCACCTATTCACATGGAACCTGACAGCTGGGTCCTGAAAGACAATTATAAAGGGAGTTTATAAGCTTTTCTTAATTAACGTATTTTTTAGAAGATATCAGATACTGTGTTAGTAGGAGGTTCTACTAGACTTCCATGTGTACAAAGTTCGATCAGAACTGTATTTAATCGTGAACCTTTGATTTCTATTGATCCAGATGAATCTGTAGCTTCAGGTGCAGCTATACAAGGTGGAATTGTATATTTCATAGTGAACCTTTGATTTCTATTGATCCAGATGAATCTGTAGCTTCAATACAAGGTGGAATTGTTAAAGTAGATATTGAAGATATATTGTATTAGTTGATGTTACTCCACTTTCCTTAGGTATTGAAGAATCCTCTAATTTGATGCCTCTTAGTATTCCAAGAAATGCTACTATCCCTTTTAAAAAGAGAACACATATACATATATTTGTATACAAACTATGTAGGTACTCAACCTGCAGCTGATGTTAGTTCCATGTTAATGAAATTGATTGAGCCTCCCCTAGAAGAACATGCTCCACTACAAGGGGACCCTAATCAGGTTCCACCTGCTCTCTCCGGCAGTAGCGGCACTAGCTGTATCACGGTATCACATGCGGGGTTTGTCTCCGAATGGGGCGCCCCGGTGCCCAACATGCTCAACTAGATTGAAAAAGGGCAAAAACAACCAACAGGGCAGAATGGGCCGCACAGAACAACGTTTCACTTAGGCAAACCCGATGATGAACAGGGGGTCAACTCTCTGAAAGGTTTCTCGAGGAACTCAGTAACCCTACAAGCTTTCCTAGTTTCTTACCCTTGAAACCCCCCCCCCACCCTCAAAATAAGTCACCTCTGTGCGAAGAACCAACAACCCAACAACAAACACACCCAAACAACCCCAAACACAACCCGAAATTAAAACGACCACCAAAACAAAACAAACACAAACATGTGGCCATGGGTCAAAAGCCTGCACCCCCAGTGAACATCCCAATCCCCACTAAAATAGGTTCTAAAATGGGTGGGGCACCTGCCCCAAAATGGTACCGTTGGTTTTGAACCACATCCATATGAAACCCCTCAGCGACCGATTTTTTGTCGATTCGTGTTCAAGGGGAATCCCAGAAGCCGGCCTGAGAAGAGCCATGAAGTCCTCGTTCTGCTGCCAAGTGCCACCTGTTGTGAAGAAAGAACCCCCGAATGCTGCCGCAAAAACCGCGGCGATATGGCTGTGGGTCAAAGTACTTGGTAACCCCAAAATTGACCCACACCCAATATGCAGTCCGCCAGCCCCATTTCTGGCTTGATCTTCAAGGGAAGCAACTCACCTACAGCAAGCTGCTGAGAAAAAGGCTCCCCAGCTACGGCATAGTGAGCCCCTTTTACAGCTGCCCTTCCGTGGCTGATGTTGTCCATGTGCCATCCACAGCATTTTCTCAGACCCCCCTGCTTAGAATGTATTTCCAGCGCCCGGAACCAAGGCAATGTGTGGTACCTCCAACCCCGTTCCTCTGCAAGTTGCCAATTCCAGATTCTGGGGTAGCAGTCCCAATTCGAAAGCTAGCTTTCTGAATCCACATCTGCCCGACGCTTTTCTCGGCTTGCCTAAATCTGAAATCTGAGCAAGCACTGCCCAGTTCTCACAATCAAAGCACTCGCTTGCCCACTTCCAATACGTTGCTTGCCCAATCCCAAGAACTTGCCACAAGACTACAGCAGGTTTGATCCGCATTGCCCCAATTTCAACCTAGGTCCTCCAGTAGAGAGGTTCCAATAAGGGTACCAACTTGTTTTTCTTCTGCAGTCTATTTTAGTAAGGGAACCACAAACAAACAAAAAGAAAGGGCACAAGTTGGCACCTAGCTGGGGGACCTGCTTTTGGAACATGAGCATGGCGATTGGAAATACCACCTCTCCTTAGCAGCCTTAGCACCATGGGCCATTGGCATGGCTACTTTAGCAGCCAAAAAAGGAGAGAGAAGGGCACTACTGGGGGGCCTAGAAACCCTCCCCCCTTTGACCAGGTGGCCAACACGCTCCAGTACGCACCGCAACGGCCGGGCTTTGGTCACCCGTCCTCGAGCGAGTCGCTTCGATGGCCACTGGTAGAACGATTGGAGGCCCTTTTGGGGTTGACCATTTCAGGGATCCTTACAGTGAATACACGCCTTGTAAATGGTGGTCTCTCTTTTTCTGTTGGTGTTGAAAAAGCAACATGTTTCAAATGGTTGCAAAATGTCTCTTCTAAGGAGCCCTGCATTTTGAGTGGTGAGACAGCTCCAAGCAAAAGAGAAAAATGATCTCTAAACAGCTGGGCATCCATCCTGGTGGCAAGTTGCAAACTTACGACAGTTGGCCTTCCGTCTGCTCAGGCTGGGCTGCTTTGCGTGGCTTTCTGGAACACGGCAAATGGTTGGTTTAACCTCTTACCTCACTTTCAATGCAAAACCAAAAGGGTGTCCATTTCTCACTTCCTGAGTGGATTGCCCAGGAAAAGTAACCAAGCTTCTTGTTACGACTAAGTTTGGTCTTCCCAAGCAGTGACTAAAGTCCAGGAACGCAGAAAGTGAAATTTGGCCATGGGTCAAAACCCTGTACCCCCGGTGAACATCCCAATCCCCACTAAAATAGGTTCTAAAATTGGTGGTGCACCTACCCCAAAATTTGGCACCATTGGTTTTGACCCACAGCCACTTTGAGAAACTTCCATTTGGTTAAGGCCCAGGAAAAAAATATTTCCAGTAGTGATGAATTCCCTTCAAAACCAACAGGGAAAAATATAATATTCTCAAGCAAATGGAGGAGAAAGTGAGATTTCGAGAAACTCCGAGGCCCAGTGCCAAGCTGCTGTGCAGCCCCGGCGAGTAGCTCTGCCCCCATCGCGCCGCAGAGTCCTGCAGGGGCAGCACGTGGCCTGAGTTCGGGCAGCCTGCTTTCCCGCGGCTCCCCTGCAAATTCACCGACGCAACACCAGGTCACCCAAAAATTGGAGAAACCCACCTCCACCCTGCAGCTGAACATAGAATGCAAGAAGCCACCAGTTTGTGAGGAGCCGCCTTTGGGGGGGACAACCTTTCTGGGCTCCATGCTGATTTGAAGGGGGGGGGCTAAATTGATGAGGGGTTTGAGCATTCCAGCTTACACGTCATGGCAGTTATACTACGTCTTATGTTCACCCATCTAAACTAAGGAACCCTGAACTGATCTTCATGCGTGGAATCGCTTGTTCCACGGCATCGTGAAATGCCGAACGAAGCACCCGGAAGCCCTTGCTTCCCCCGGCGAGCTCGCCATCCACTGTTTTTTGCTCAGGGAACCTGAGGAGGTCACTCAAAAAGAGACTAGAAGAGAGTCGCGGTTGCTTTCTGCTCCCCTGCTAAAAGTTTAACTTTTAGTGGTTTAATGGAAAACCCACTAGTTGGCAAAAAGCTAAAGTCCTACCATCGAAGCAAAATGCACCAAAGAGAGGGTCCATGCCAAGACTTATCAGAACCTAATGCTTAGCATGCAGTTTGCGGCGTGCTATTAAATCAAACTACCCCATGATAGGACAAGAATGTTATTGCAATGACTTCGGCTCAAGACCATCCAGATCGGGTGACCCGTCTGACTGGGAACAAATGTGCATCTTTCGGATAAACAATTGTCCCTTGCAAGCCTTCAATCAAGCCCGTTGAACAACAAACCCGTCAAGTCCGGAAAAAGTTTCAAACTGTCCTTATCCTTGGTAAGGTCAAAGTGGAACAAAACCCTAGTTGCTCACACACACACACACGTGTGTATATATATATACATATGTATATATATATATACACATGTAGGTACATACAAACACATATTCACATATATGTATATATGTACAGATACATATGCATATATTAATCTATATATATACAGAAACATATATATATTGGGGACACCATGGGCTTGTTTGTCTGTTGGGCCCAGGGGTCTGTGGGGGACTATTGGGAACTATTTACAGAAACAGTGGAAACCATCCAGAACTATTTTCAAAAAGAGCTGAGAAGTATAGACAGTATAGAGGAGCCAAGCAAGACAAACCGATTCACAGCTTGGACACCGCAACAAGGTCACCAGGATTGTTCACAGAAGAAAGGCTGACAAGTGGAAAATGTGTTTGTGTGTGTATCTGAGTCAGTGTGTGTGTGTGTTACTCGCAAAGCGCAACCCCTGCATCTGTTCCTCATGAGACCTGATTTACGATTGGCAAGCCAACTTAGCCTTCAACAGCCTGCCTAGAAGCATTCAGCGGCTTGCAAGATTCCAGGAAACACACGTTAACGTCCGTCAAGAGTCATGGTCATAGAGTCAGTCATTGACACTTACATAGTCATAAGATGTCACAAGTCATACACTCGTACGGTCCGTGTACCTAACCAAAAGCCAAAACAAATGCTCAATCCGCAATCCCCAAACATCTGCGCCAGCTGAAGCAGGAGCTGCAGAATGTTTTCGCCACTCAGCGCGAAAGTTGCTTGGCGACCCCGAGAGATTCCATCTGGCCACGCACAAGATGGCAAGCCCCCACCCCAAACTAAAGGCGATGGCACTGTTGCACAGTGCTTCACTGGCATATTTGCAAAAAAGCCTGCACCTTATTTCTTGGCCCTTGCCCGTTTCGGCTTAGACCCCTCTGCTGCCTCTGCCTTGGGAGCTGCCCGCTTTGCGGGCTTTGACTGTGATCCGCTGGCACTCTCAGTGGGGCCATGGATTGCCTTCTGCGCCCTTAGCTGCGAAGTTTGGCTGGCGCCCCCCTTGTGAAAGCTCACTTGTGAAAGCTCACTAACACAACAGTTACAGTTGACAATACAGCACACAGCAACAAAGTAACACAACATGAAAGCAAGCTATTGTAAGATGTGCACCGTTGAGGGGATTGCTAGCATCATTACTCACTCCCTCTTCCAAAAGTAGAAATGGAGAGGTGAAATGCGATGGTATGCGCAACACCCAGAAATCTGTCAAAGAGATAATGATCGTGCGTAATAGTGTGTGTAACTGCGTGCTGCAAGCTGCAACGCGAAGTGTGGAACAATCAGAAAGAACCTTGATCCCCGTTCCAGAATCCAACCCGGAACAAACCGTTGCTGCAAGGCAACCGCTGGAGCCAAATGCACGCTGAAGATCTTCTGTTTGGCCATGGTCTTGACTGAGCTGCTTAGCCAGCACACAGCACACAATGAAACAAGTAACCTTTGATTGGTTGGCCATGCATCCCCAACAATAAGCGCTCTCCAGGCTACAGGGGCAAACCAAATTCCCCAAAATTTACAAACAACTTTATGATCTAGTGGCACGTGGCAACGTTGCGAATTCATCAGTCACGATCCGTGTGATGGGTCAAGGTCACGAGTGAAGATCCGTGTGCTTCAGTTAAAACCCGTACGAAATGCCTGAGCCCCCGCCATGCAGAAAGAAGGCAAGAGTCCCACTCATCATCTCTGCAAACTTTGTCTTCAACATGCCAGGGAAGTCCTCCTTGCTGGTCCCGACCGACTTCGCCAAGAAAGCGCACACCTTTCGGCCAGCATCAAGCGCGTTGTCCTTCTTCGAGCTGTTGAGCACGCAGTCCATGCCCATCATGCAAGTCACAATCTGCCTGCACGTTGACGCCAAATCCTGCGGAAACAAACACATGTGTGCAACTTACAGGAGTCCATGAGAAACTTCCCTCAAAATTTGTTGGTCATCAGTCATCTGTTTTTTTGGCCACGGGCCATGGGCAAAAAAAAAGAATCCACGCAATCCGCAATCCCCTTGCTTTGTTGTCTGGTCTGATCCATGCCAGTCCCCAAGTGGTCAGCAAGTGAAGCTTTCCGCCCACAAACAAACCCGGGTCACGGTCACGGTTAAAACAACCTGTGTCTGAGTCAATTAAACGGCCAACTAACAAACATCATCTTCCCCTGAATCCCCCTTGGTCGGTCCATTCCTCCCCCAAAAAACCTGCTACTTCCCGCCTGCATTCTGGCCAGCATGGAATGGAACAAGTTCATGGAGTCGGAAATGCCCTCGCCGTCCAAATCCTTCTCGCCAGAAGGCCGCGAGGCAATCATCAGCTTGATCTGCGGGATGGCCTCAGAAAATTGGTTCTGGTACTTGAGCATCTGCTGAATGTCAGCGTTCACAGCATCGCTGCTGGCAAAGAACTCCTCGCAACCTTTGACGTCCCAATTCTCGGCTGCGTCCCTCACACACCTGACAAGAATCAGGAACACTACTGCGAAACTGCAAGCAACACAACTATCTCCAAGAACACACCATTGAACAGTTTGAACAAGCGGGGCAGCTAGGGCGGCTGGGAAGTGAGTGCAGCAACATCGCAATTGACTTTTCAACTCAACTAGCTCGCTTTACTTTTCTAACTAAGCTCAGTTGTGACACCAACGACCTATAGGCTACCATGACAGCTCTCTGACTTGGTGTGGAGAAGGGCAAAAAACAAGGACTACTATTGGGCTGGGTTGCAGACACAAATGTCTAGACGGGTGACCCAACTAAAAATGGAACTGATTGCTGCCGGTACACAGGTACGTATCCAACAGCTTGCCACACTTCTCAGTGTCGCTGTCCAGCTTGTCAACCATCTGCTTGCACACCTCCGCAACTTTGACCATGTAAGCTTTGAGTGTCTCAATGGATGTGGGCAGGAGGCCCTCAAGAAGGTCAGGCTGGATGACCCCAACTTTGTGGTAGTTGCAAACGTGAGGCGCCAACGCTCCCAGGCTGCCAGCAGGAGACACATCTGCAGCCTGCCAGCACTTGACCTCCTTGTGACAAGCAAGCACGATCATGCACTCCCGAAGCTTGCCTGGTACCACTGCAAACTCCTTGAGCAGCTGCATGCCAGCCTCCTCCCCCTGGTTGGCCACAACCTCCAAAACAGCCTGGGTGCCCGCTTCAATCACCAGAGGCTTAAGCCGATCTGCGGCAACTCCGCAAGACACCGGCCATGTTGTTGCGGACTCTTCGCCCAACTGCACCATGGCTGCCTTGGCCAGGGCCTGCCAAGCAACAAGTTGGGCAATCAGAGGGCTGCTGCCTTCTGAAGACGAGGAGTCCTGGAGAGCAGTCAAGGCCTCCACAACCTTCTCCAACGCAATGTTGGCCTGGTGGTCCTGGTTGAAGATATGGATGTTCAGCAAGCCTGAGCGAGCGATGAAAGTGGGCAAGGCAATGAAAACCAGGTGGCCAAACCATTCACTCTTGCCACTCTCCTACTTACAAATCTGTACAACTTTGCGGGCAACCTTCGGCGAGCGCCTACAAGTCAACCTGCCTATCTGCCTTCAATCGGACAAGGGGGCCTGAGAAATCCAACAAGTCAACTCAAACTGGGATTTGGATTTGCGCCCTGCCTGGTCACAGCTGGTGTCTGAAATGATTGAACGGAAACTACGTTTCTGCCCATGTCCCCCATCTTTGCCCCAGTCAACTCCATCAACAAAATTGATGACTTGAACGCCGTAACCGATCGGCAATTGGCGCTGCAACAAAGAAGTCAACGAACATCCCCGCAACTTGTACGCCTTCAACCAAGGAGCTCAAAAGATGAACTGAGTCCTTGTGAGTGTCAAAGGTGTCGCTGTCGGTCAGGCAGCAATCCTCCTCAAACTGCGCGCCCAACCACGTAGAGAAGGCCTCAACGCTAGTCTCTGACAAGGCTGCAACTCGTGAGAGCATCTGCTGCTTCATCTCGCAGAGATTATCCTTGACAACAGACTCGCCCTGCAAAGCGCCCAAAATCTCTCCCAGCTTCGAGACCGCCTGGAGTTGAGAGATCAGCTCTGGGGTAACGCTGGCGCCAGATTCGCCTATGGCGGACACAACATTGCGCAGGGGCTCCACGAGCTCCTCAGCAAGCTTTAGGGCCTGCTTGGCACTCATGGACTT